TCGTAGCCCTTCCGGATCCGGGCCTGGCTCGGCTGCACCGAGTTCGATATTATTCCTAGCGTGTGCGGCGTCGACACCTGCGATTTTTTTTATCCATATAATTGTAGAGTTTTATTAGACAAATACATACTTTTCGTAGCTTGAAAAATGCTGTCTTTTAACATTTACAAATCATATATTCTTATAATCGTCTAATTTATAGAAATCCGCTATTTCAAATATACAGAGTTTGAAGGTAACATTATGTTTTCGGAACGGATTTTCGAGATATGAAAACTAGCTCATTCAAATAAGCGCATTGTAATGTGTTATCACCTTATCAAGAGCTGAATTTGCAACAACAAAATTTGATAAATTTGTCACGGTCCACCAGATTGAGTAAAGTTAGTGAACGCTGAAATTTGATTACTAAATGATTCTTGTTACAAGTTACACATCACAGTAGCTAATTAGTTACAATTACCTAACAAAACTTGCTACATCAAATGCGTAAGAGGCAGTAATATTCCGATGTTAAAACATTGATTTATCGACTTGCTTAATTGAAAAAATAATTTTTTTATCTTTTTTATTTGGTCTTCATTGAAGATTAACACATATTAGATATGACAGACATCTATGTTTTAAAAAGCAATCGTTCAGTGCTATTCATTATCTATGTATTTACTCTCTAAAATATCTTGTTTCATAAGAAAAGGAAAAAAAACGGCGCCGCTTAGCTTGCTGCAAAGCAAGACCAAGGAAATGCCAAGTTTACGGTAAAAGTTCCAAACTTCAGCGATTCAATGTTTGTGGGTAGGAAAAACGCGTGGAATAATGGTTCCGGTTTAAGATCAACGGGGACAAACAGACATCATTAAAGACGCTAAACGGAATAATTAACCAGCTTTTCATAAAGCCCAAATTTGCAATTATATGGGCCCACGTGGGGTCCGTTTAGTTACCTGAACGTCGCGGATTCCGGCCTGGACAAGAGCGTTGTGCAGGGCCCACATACAAGGGACGAGCTTGGAGATCCAGAGCCTGTTCCCGGTGGCCAAGATCTCGTTCCCCACCGAGATCCGGTTAATCTTGGTCTCCTGATAATACGGCTGCACGTTGGCGGCCACCCACTGGGCGGCGGCCCTGGCGTCCGCGAGAGCAGGGATGTCGCCGTTGCCGACGGTTATCGTGACCGTGACGTTGGTGTTGGCGAAGGCGTGTATGATGTCGGGAATGACATCGAATATCTTGACGCTGTCGATGATGGTCTGCGTCGTTATGAACTGCGCCACCTGGGACGGCCGCGGGAGGTTGTTGGCTATTGTTCCGTAGTTGACTCCGATGGCGGAGGCGCCGGTGGAGAGGTAGATGGCCACGGCGGAAACGAGGAGGAGGTAGAGCGGAGCCGTCGTCATCGTGACGGCTGCCGGCGGCGTGGGAATGTGAGGAGTTTGGTTCAAGGAGAGGAATAAGGAAGAGATAATTGGGGGTTTCGTATAACGGCAACGAACAGCTGTATTAAATAGTTTGGGGAAAACGAGGGTTGGTCTAATATTTATAGTAGTTGGAGAAACTATTAATTAAATGAAATATTAATCTTCCGGCCAGTGGGACAAAACAGGAGTCGCTGTTACGAACGCGGCTATTCCACGGATATGGTGAACTGGACTTTTTAACTAAACCGTGTGAAAACTGGATCAAGCTTTGGATTCATTTCTTTCTTTCTCTACCATTAGGCCAATTTGCTGACTTGCTTACAGGGTTTGACGTAAACACGTGTTTAAATTGAATGCGTAACAGTGCATTTGGTGATAGTTTAATTAAATTGTTACGTACGGATTTAATATATTAATGGATTGTGATACAAATGATTCAACGATATAAGCATGTACTTAATTAAGACACTCCTCGGAATGCAGAGGGGCTTGTTTGTACCATACTTGGAACATATTTGTAGTAAGTTTTCATTTCCACGTGGTAAAAAAAAAATCTGCTTAGAAGAAGAGGTTAATCTAGAACTATATGGGTGTAAATGTGGTCTAAGAAGATGCGAGGCAGAAATCAGAATGAGAAAACGTGTGGTTTGGGATAGATAGACCAAAGTAGCAGACGTAAAGTGGGGACAAGGCAACGGAAGTGGAGGACAACGTGGGCTAATCAATGTGCTGTGTAATTTTGAACACCCGAAGAAGGAGGAGGAGAAGAAGAACATGGGGAGGGCGGACTAACATGCCCGCGTTGCTGCCTCCTTTTCCTTTATCGTCCTTCTTCCTTTTTCCTTTTTCCTTTTTTGCTCGAATTAAAATTGGCACTGAGTTGGGCTTTGGACGTAACGCGTCTCTCTCCGTTTAAAAGCAAGGCCCAAACTTGTTCAGCCCGGCCCATTGTTTACACGAATGCTCAAGCAGAGAACACATTAAATGTGTAATTAAGACATGTTAAGCAAAACTTTTGCTTTTGTTAGTCTTAAATTCTTGATTGATGTTGCTTCTAAATTTTCACTATGCATATGCCAAATGACATTTCAATTTCTGAAAAAATCATGCAAGTACATCCAAGGAAAATAAAACCGATGCCCAGTTAGAGTTGGTATTATTGGATCAATGGTGAATTTTCAATAACAAGCGTACTTTTCGTATTTCACTTTAGTGATATTTTCCTTAGATAATCAATTAAATTCGCTGATAAAACGAGATACTATTGTATTACATAGTAAGGAAGAGTTACGTTCCACATGATTAATTCTTCGATTTTGCGGCCCTCATTTAAAATCGGAGAGCTATGGAGATTTCTTCACTGCTCATCTTTAGTGTGGCCGGTATGCCCCGTGTGGCCGGTATGTCCAGTGTGCCCTGTATGTCCGGTATGTCCAGTATGACCTGTATGTCCGGTGTGACCGGTGTGTCCAGTGTGACCTGTATGTCCAGTATGGCCTGTGTGTCCGGTGTGACCGGTATGCCCTGTGTGACCTGTATGAGCATCAACCATAACAAAAGTTGTTGTGGAAAGAAGAAGGAAAAGTGCAAGAAAAAGAATGCAGTTGCGACGATATGTTTTGTTCTCCATGATTAATTTTTTGTTTAGAAATTAACACTAACACTTTTTAGTGTTTCCTTATGCGATATAAATAGGTGTTTATTTTAATCATATGGTGATTTCCTTTCCATAGACGACATTTGAGAATAAGTTCCTTGGTAGGAGTTTAGACAAGTGTGAAAATCTTGTCAAATGATGAGCCCCTTCTTTTAGAAACCACATGCTTATTATTGCACGAGGGTATAACTTTTCGGTCCTTTATCCCGGTCAAATAGCGGGGAGGAAAATTGGTAGGGTATTTCACAACTCTTGAAACCAATAGAATAGGCTGCCTTAAGTCTGGAATTGTTTGACAAAGAAGGCGGGGATATGATCGGTTGTACTACTGCTTACTTTTAAGACATTAAACATATCAAATTTATGTAAATGATTATCCTTTGTTTAGTAATTAATTTTTTCGTCGAAGCGATTATGAATTTTAATTGATAGAGTTATTGCTTTCAGTTTAAACCACGGAATAAGTAACAATATCTTAATTTCATTGAAGTACCTCAAAGATGTTTAGATTAGTATTATTTTACCGTCTACAATTCGTTTCAACATATTAATTAATAAGATAACATTTCTATGTTCCTTCTTCGCAGGGCCACTTTGAAGGGAATTCTACACTATTATCTTTTTACCTTATTTGATGTTTTTAATTGTGTTTATTTTTTATGGTTTCATCCAATATCTCAAAATTGTATATAGAAATTTCTTCTTTTTTTTTTTTTGTTAAAGGCGACATTCATTATTATTATTAAAACCAAAACTTATACAAAAAATTTTATTCTTTGTATAAGTTATGGAAATTTCTTCTTAATCCATAATAGCTTGAGTGAGCATTTGCACAACAACAAATAGGAGGCAAACTCAATTCATCCATAAATACCCACAACTCATTTTGATATCATTGCAATAACAAGCAAGGTTAAAGAAGATTATGAACCATGAAAAATGAAAGACATTTGTGGATCGCATGTTGATAATCATGTATATGAAATTGATCAAGAAAAGTGCATTATGTGTGACTTGTTATTGGGATGCGACTCTTTGGATGCCATTTGTACTCGCTCACTTTCTAAATTTGTACGATTCCCTTATTTTATTAAGTGACGTTTTAGTGCAGGATCAAAATAAAATACTTTTAAAATCGGAAATTCTTTTATGGAAATAATACTTCAAACACATCCTTGAGGGAGAACGACGACTTCCAGTTATGTGTGAGTTTTATGTCATTGTTAATAGAAATAATAAACATCAAGGTAATCAAGTGAACAAGAGTTCGGTCTAGTGGTACTATTAGTATTAGTGGTCTTGAACCTGAAAATTTCAAATTTAAATTATTTAAATAGTATTTAATTATATAGACAAACCAATATCACTCTTATCTAAAAAAGATCAAAGTAATCAAAACGAATGATTTTTTTTACAACAAATTCAATCATGTGTTATACATTATATATCAATCAAAATCAATATAAAATTGAATCACAATTCAAATCACAAATTCATTCTAGTGCTTCTACCATGGTATCAGCCATCAGGTCCAGTGAGGTTGCTATTGGGCATTTATCTCTGTCGTGGCAGCTGTGGAAGGTGTCAACCAGATCACGGACGGGGAACAGGTGCATCTTTACGATCGAGCAGGAGCTGGTGAATTTTGGTAAAAACGTTCCATGCAATTACTTGCTCTCAGGAAAAAAAGAACAGTTACTGTTGTTAAACAACCGTGATTTTATAGGGAGTAAAGACGATATTTTCTTCATGCGAAAAATTAGTCAATCGATTTCATTTCGCAATTTAATGACTTGAAAAATATTGTTCGTTATCGTCTAATTAATCAAGCAACTAAGTTTAAAGTAAATCCGAGATCTAAAAATTCACTTTTCAATTATGGAATATGAATCATCTTATCTCAAAGACCGGCCTACGCATAATTTCCTCCCATAAAAACGATATATCATAGTAAGTTAGTAACAACTATTTTTGCACTAGCTATTCCTCTTTCCCCAAATCAGTCAGAGCTCCTAAGCAGCTTCTTCATCAGTTTTGCTTCACGTTTCCATATCCTCATCCATCTTTCCTCACGGGACTTCACAATTGGCGCATGACCTGAAAGAACCCAGGACCAAAAGAAAAAAAAATTACGCTAATTTTCTTTTCCTAAGTATCAATACCAGGATATAATTATATCAGTTCATAAATTGGGGTAGTTAGAAGGAAGAAACAAAAAGTAGGATGGGAGAATGAGAAAATTTACTTGGATTGACAGTCACAGTGGTGACGCCGCCTGACAAATTACAGGTGGAATCCAGCCCACCATTGTCCCGATAGTTAGAGGTAGCCTGGGCCATAACAATGTTGGGCCCAAAGCACGAGCCCCCCTAAATAGATGGGCTTGCAATTTGCTCCATTACCGCATGCATGGTCTATATTTGACTGCAATGTCGAAGCTGCTGCTTCGGCCTTGGCCACACACCAATTTATGGGTCAAATCCTAAAATCCCTAAAATGACTACCATTACTGACACGAAATCAATGACAAATTGTGAATACGGGTAAAGTCCAGCGGCATTCGACGTAGAGGTTTCAGATTCGCTTCCCGTGCTAGAATTCCCTTTCCCCTGTTCATCGGTAGAATCTCCCTTCGCCTGTTCATCGGTAGAATCCCCCTTCGCCTGTTCATCGCCGGAATTCCCGTTCGCCTGTTGATCCTCTTTCGGCGATGAGCTCTAAAAAAATCCCATAACAAATTACATTATTACTTGTTTGAATTATGGGCGGTTTAATTAATTAACCTCAGCAAAGTAAATTTTAATTTGTCTGTTGATAAGAAAGTATGGAAGAAGAAGAAAAAAAAAAGTTTTTGGGGATGTCAAGTTGTCAACAAACCGGGGAAGATTCGGGGCTGGCGACGATCTCCTCTCCGGGGCGCACGACGCCGCAGTCATAAACGGGAGTCATATCGGGCTTAAACAGGCCCCAATGCTGCTCAGTAATTGGGCCGGGCTTTTGGTTCTCGTTAAACAGCGCGAACAGGAAAATCCCGATGGGCTTGTCGGGCACTAACGGCGTGCCGGTCCCGTTAATGTCGCGAGCGACGAGGTGGGAGTTGTAACAAGCGGCGTTATCGACGGTGCACTCCAGCTGGCCGGGGAGGCAGAGGGTGGGCCAGCCGGTCTCGCCGACGAGGAGGGGGACGTCGGTGAAGTTGAGCCTCTTCATGGCGGAGTAGGTGGCGTCGAGCGTGGCGTCGAACATGTCGGTGTAGGTGATGCCGGTGGCCGGGTCGGGGATTCCCGGGTTGGGAAGGAAGAGGGAGTAGTTGGCCATTTTCGGGGAGTAGCCGAAGTAGGAGTAAGGGTTCACCATGAACGGAGCGTCGGTCTCGCGGAGGAATTGGAGCATCGGCGCGTAGACTGCGACGTCGTGGCCTGGCCAGAACTGGCCGGCGCTTGGCGGCTCCGATACTTTGAGAATCCCCATTGCGTGTGCTGTTGTTACCTGTCCCCAAAAGAACGAAAATTTGGATTAAAAATGGGTATTAGATGGATAATTGTTAGGGTGTTACTAAGATACTCCACACACATACTAAGTAATAGCGCATCTAATCGATTACGCATGACGCTCGAAACTCGCTCCAGGTATATAAACTATGAAACCCTCCAAGAAGGGGGACTTCTTCTCTCTCCTCACTTTGTGTTAAAAAGAAAAAAATTCACTCTCCTCACTTTCCACTTTTTACTATCTCTCTACACTTTATCTCTCTACATTGTTCTCTCAACTCTCAACTTAAACCGAAACTAACTTGATCGTTGGAGTTTAATCCGGGGGCATCCCCGACCTTTTCTCAGGTTCCTTTCCCCCCGACGAGATCAGACGAACAGATCGTGAGTCAACCCCTCACCAACAAATGATTATTGTTCATACCTCGAGATAGATGGTACCAACAATACCAACAAATCGCTAATGAAGTAAAATTTATATAAAAAAAAAATCAATAAGCAAACAAGAGTATCTTCCAAATCTAGGATTTTGCAAAACTCAGATTTTACCAAAACCATAATTTTTTAAATTCACGAAACAAACAACTCTCAAGTGATCATGTAGTGTTCGAATCTTCATGAATCCTAATATTAACAATTAATTGAACCACAAGGTATGACCAGCCTCTACAAATTTCAAATTCATAAATTGACTTTCATTTAGAGAGAATACGTAAAAGAATAATGATATAAGTTTTTTTTATAATTAACATTCTCCCAACCTGCATCGTTTATTCATGACAGACACATTGGTAGTATTATTGATCCTATATTTACGGCGGGTTATGAGATAATAACTTTACCTGAACGTCATCAATCCCGGCCTTGACCAGAGCTCGATGAACAGCTTTCATAGCGGGGACAAGATTGGAAATCAAATTATCGTCGAGCGTGGCCATAATCTCGTTCCCAACGAGGACCCGGTTGATCTTGGTCTTGGGATAGAAAGGGGCAATATGGTCATTGATCCACCCACGGGCCTCATCGTCCTTCGTCAGAGACGGGATCAGGCCGTTGGGAATCGTGACCGTGACTTTAAGACCGGAGCCGGCGAAAGCGCGGAGGATGTCCGGGTCGGCGTTGAAGAGCTTGACGCTCTCGATGATCGTCTTCGTCTTGAGGAATTTGGCCACCGTGGCGGGTGTCGGCAGGTTGTTTCCGAGGGTGCCGTAGTTTACCCCGATGGCGGAGGCGGTGGCGGAGAGGCTGAGCACGGCGGCGATTAGACGGAGGACAGGGGCAAAGTTATTATGACGGGTCCCCATTTGTTTTAGTTTTTTTTATTATTTATTTTTGCGTTCTTCTTCGTAAGGAAATGAATTTAAATACTTCTGATTAGTTTCTTTTTTTTACTATTTTTTTTACAGATAGATCGTAGATGCGCCTTTATCTGTGGATCGGATAACGTATTCAGTTCGTTTTCTAATTTGGAGTGGGTTGGCAACAATAGTTATGTGCTGGTTGTTGATTACTTAAGTCAGTTTATATAACAAATGACCAACACACTCTAACCAGTCTGCAATTTTACAGTCGAAAATTACATATGTACACAGGACAATTGTAACATTGAGGCTAATATGTATTAAAAATTTGTTAGGTAAATGTCTAAATATATCCAAATCTTTTGAGTCGAAGACAGAAATAGTCAAAATTATCAAATATGTCATAAAATAGCCAACAACTTGATGGGAGAGGCGGTGGCAGAGTGGTCATAGAGGAGGAGCAGAGTTAATGGAGACTTTGGCTTGGTGGTAGAGCGGAGCGGCAACTATGGCCGATAAGGGGAAGATTGTTTGTGGTTGTCGAAGGGTCGATAACAAAACAATAATATCCTGGTTAAAAAAATATTATGTTAGCCAAAAGGTAACACAACCGAGTTGGTCTGGAGTGTGGTCTTTCGAGATTGAGATGTGTGAGGTCTCAAGTTCGAACCCGCTACACCACTTGGTGTTTCCGGAGGAACCGCGAGTGCTGGAGACGAAGTCCCCCCCCCCCCAGTATCGGGTGCTAGGCCTTGAAATTGTTGCAGATGCAGGGGTTGAGGTTGGCACTTATCTCTCAGCCGCATAGTTAACAGAGGGGTTAATTGCATGTTTGGTCACTGTGATTACAAAAAAACGTTCAAGTTTGGTCACTCGAAAAGTTGACGGTTAAATATGTGACATGGCAATTTAAAAATAATAATTTATTTTTTTCAAACTGTCATCTTATTTCTACCTCATTATCACTTTTAGTTAAAATAAATAAAAAAAAGATAATTTCTTCTTTGTTCTCTATTCACAACTTTCCCCTCTCTCCAAAAAACACACAAACAACATTCCCCTGTTTCCCCCTCCTCTGTTTTACCTTCCTCTCCCTTTAATCCATCCACCAAAAGGACTCAACGTTTACTATAACAACAACAAACAACCCACAAACATAAAATGGGTACAATCATTTTCCAAGGCATCCAATCTGCCTGGAACCCCAGATGGCCGAGCCGGATGTTTTACCATACCTCATCAGACCAAACCGATGTTTTAATTTGAGGAATTTTTTTAATAGTTGAACCAAATTAGTAATAAAGAATAAATTTAATCCACTATTCATAAGTATTGAAAATAATATCAACAAATAATTAAATGATTTACAATTACATAGCTAATAAAATAACATAGACAAAATACACTTATATAACCATAACTTTCACATTTGTCCATAACTATCTGAAAACAGAAAATAGCCAATTCCGTCCATTTTGTTAACGATATCAGTTGATGGTACGAATGGACTAACGAAAGATGCTGAGTTGGCGATTGATTTACCCACCAACCGACGTGGATTAGCAAGAAAAAATAAATGACAGATGCAATAATTCCCCACCACCACCACTCTCCTCCAACATCCTCATCCCGACCACTTCCCCTATTTCCTCCCCTCCCACCACCGCCACCGCTGTCGGCCCCGCCCCGCTAATCGTCCACCTGAACGCCCCTACCTCCAACGTCGCCTTCTTGACAGCCTCCATCCCCAGAATCACCGGAGCCCTCTTCGGCTCCACGATCTTATCGGACGAAAGATCCTTCCCAAGCTCGGCCAGATTCCCTCCCACAATTGACGCCACTAGCGCTCCCGTCTGGCTGCAATTCCACACACGCCACCGAAGGAAACTGAATCCTTTCGCAGATCGATACTTTCTAAAGAACAGATCAAGATCCATTGTCGGCAACCAGTGGTTTCCTTCGACAAGAACAATATTCTTCTACCAGTAGGTTTTTGTGAGTAGAATATAAATCCAGACCAAATCTCGCTGGATGCTCTTCCTCTTATACGAATCTGTGCGTACTCGGACTCTAATACGCTTCCATCATCGTCATTAATTCCCTGATTTAGCATAATTCGCCATCGCTGAAAGCTAGGGTTTCTTCGTCGATTTGATAGTCACAAATTGAGAAGAAAAACGAACGCAGAAGACATGCAGCGGATTGACCTGAAGTGAATCAGAGCAGTTCTCCATCGTTGAAATCGATCGGAGAAGAAGACGCGTCCGACAATTGAACTCCCGGAGCAAGAAGCGATTGGCGAAGATCGAACGATGCAGAAATAAGAAAAATCGAGACCAAGGCAGGAAGGAAAGAGAATCAAGATGATTAGCGCTTTCTGGAAACTCGAAAATAGAAGAGATTCGAAGAAAATTGACGAAAATCGATCAAGAACTGGAAGATTTTCGCTATGCGGGGTTTGATTTGGGGGAAGTGGAAAGATAGAAGGAAGATTGGGGGTGGGGTGGTAATGAAAAAGAGGAGGTGCTTCAAAATTTGTATTTTATTTTTTTAAAATAAAATATGATGTGGTATCTAGGTGGCAAATGTGGCTATGTTGTCGCTGATGTGTGTGATGATTTAGCATCCTAGTCACCTTAACATTAACCTAATTGACGGAGTTTCTAACACCGTTAAAGTTTCTAATGAAAATGGCTAGATGTATCACACTACAATCCAATTTTGGGTTATTTTGTGTTTTTAAATAGTTATGACTGTTATAAACGCGCTGCTACGGATCGGGAGATTGCCGGAATCAATAAAGCAAGAATGCGAAAGCGAGAATCGAAAAACACAGACACATGATTTACGTGGTTCACTAACACGACGTGTGTTAGCTAGTCCACATGCGAGAGAGAGCCAATTTCACTATATCGAGGAGATTACATATTACAGCTTACAGATTACAGAGGAGAATGAGAAGTATTTATAGTACTTCTCTATGTGGGTCTAAACCTAATCCAATATGGCAAAGGAAACGGTTACAGACCAGGCCCAGAACCCGAACCCAAATAACATTGAGCCCATACACCCCCGGCTACCAGTCGTAGCGGCTGATAATCCGATTCAAGTCACATCAACAATGACTATATTTTGTGTTTTTGAATAGTTATGACTATATTTGCCAATAACATAACTATCACACTTCCCAATATACTTTTTTTCTCTCACTTTTCTCTTCACATTCCCCGTAAAAACAACATTTTCTTTCTAGTTTCTACTCTAACTTTTCTCTCTCTCTCTCTCACTCTCTCTCTTCTCTCCCCTCCAAATGTTCCTTACTTTTCATTTTCCTTCTGGCAATGAAAATCAGAACGTTAGATTTTTGAAAAATTATTAATTAACAAAATCCTCTAACCATTGACCATGCAACAATCTACCTAAATTCTGAAATCCGCCATAAATTGTCTAGTGGAAATTATCAATTACTTTCCTTACTTCAGAAAAAAGAATATCCCTTATTTTCTTTCTAAAATTATTGTGAGAATAATTCTTACTGTAACGGGCGTTAACAATTCATCTTTATAATTCAGAGTGAGCCCCTCTCCCCTTACCCATGCCTTGCCAATCAAAGAAAATATTGATTTCGCTTCCCCTGCTTCATCTTGAGAAAACGAGAGAAGAAAAACAGGAAGAATGGAGAAAGAAAAACATGGACAGGAAGAAAGACAAGAACCGAGCAACACGCTGTATAATGCGTCACCGTTGGACACCTTACTGAGAATCGAGGAGAGCGAAACGATGCGACACCGTGTTCCAGGCACAACTTCCGTCTTCTTTGATAACACTGGCACGCCTCGCTACAATTGGCTGCTCCCTGGTTGTCTTGTTGAAGAACAAACCATGCCGGACGGCAAAATTCACCTAGTGAGTATATTATAAATTCTAATTCTTCTTCGATTGCGCTATTAGCCTATTACAATATACAATCAGTATATTATCCTAGACCTGAACCAATAAGTGATGACTCGAATAGTTCAATAGAATCGATTATATGGTGTGTTGTTCAGATTTAATTTATATATGACTAACCATTTTGACGAAATTTCTTTTGGTGGGGTCTTGGATGAAACGGTAGGCTCGAATCACGCCTGCTCCATGAGTTTACTCGGACCCTCGTCACAATATATGTTGTTGACATGATTTCTTACCGTTTTTTTTTTTTACTTATGTTTTCTTTATTGGTCTGTTTGATCTCTCCCTCTCTTTTCGTGGGTATGTGAGGCTGATATTTTGTCCTGTGTGCAGACTTACTATGATCACCTTGGCAGGGCTTATGCAAGCAAGTGTGATTTACTTCGGGCATGGGAGCAAGCTGGTGTGCAAATCTTGGATCCTAAATCCGATTCATTGAACAAGAAGGAGAAATGATAAGAAGGTGGCTGAAATTTTCATAGGGTTTGATGAAAATCATTAAGTTCAACTGCAAGAGCAAATTATTGGTGAAATAAAACAGCAATTTGGTTGTTTCTCTGGCAGTTTTTTACTCTATTTCGTTTCTTCGGAATCTTGGCGGAAGCGGAAACCCTAATTTTGACCGGGCGAGTAGGCTGACTTTCTTGGTTGGGCTAGAAGACCCAATTCTCACTTCTTCTAACTTACTATCCCCAGGCCTTTACCCTTAGCCCACAGGCCCATAAAAGGTTGATTGTTGTAAACATAACATCCCCAGCCAGATAATATGCTAGCAAGCAGAGCACAAGGCCAGCCTAAGGCACATGGCCAGCTCTTAGTTTACTCCGCAGAACCAATCCCAGCCAAACAAATGCACATGTTCTGGCCCCCAAACACAAGGCCTAACAACGTTAAGAGAGAGAGCATTCCCAAACATCATTAATTGAACAATCAACCACTAATCTCGACATTGACATATAATAATTGTAGTTGCTAAAAGATACCTCACAAATTATTGTTTCGTATACAGATGATCAAAATGAAGAACAGAAGAATAAAGGGCAAACAAAGAGAGGAATTCCTTGGCCAACCAAATACCTGGCAAGGAATAACACAATCAAAACTGAAGCACAACAATGTAAAAAAGAATAGAACAGTATATATCCTTTCTATGGGTATTCAAGTCTCTTCATGAACCTCTGCTGCTGGTAAGTCAGTCCTTGTGATCCACGGATTGCCCCCAACTTGTTGTGATGAATGTAAAAGAAGTATTACGATACAGAAGAAAAAATGCCTCAACAGTAATGTATTTGTCTTGTGATTCCTTGTAAACTCCGTTTGAACTCTGCTCCCGCCGACGATTTATTTCTCTCTCAGGTCAAAAAGAACCAATGAAGAAGAAGAAGAAGAAAGAAAAGCCGCAATAGAATTGGTAGTTAAAAAAAAAAAACTCTTCCTGGGAAAAAAATGTAAAGAAGAAATGGAACCTCCCATTTCCGACAGCCGAATTTCTCTATACACTCTCTCTGCAGATGTCATTTGGTTTCTTCAGAGACCACCCCTTAACAAGGAGTATCTCCGACGCCTCTCCCGCTTAACCATCCTGTTGCTGTTGTTGTCATTGTTCAGAGGCCTCAGAAGGCGTTCTTCCTCGACTTCGTAGTGAATAGAGGATTGCAGCCTTCTGAGATGCCCACCACACTGCCAGTTGTGATCGGATGAAGATGATGTGGAAATGCTGCTGCTGCTGCTGCTCGACAAGTTGTGCCGCCCATCTGGGGCAAACAGTCTCTGATATGGAGACTGCCATTTGGCTTGCAGATAAGCCAGGGATCTCCACGGTGGAAGAGGCATTGAGTTTTGCTTCAGCGATGACTTGGCACCATCGACCATGACCTGAAGATACTGCTTCAGCCGGGGCAATGACCCCACGTAAACTACAGGAAGTAGCTGTAGTATGCGGTCGTACGAGTCGACCGCTCTAGCTATTTCAAAGTGGCTTCTGAAGTCGATGTCTATGATCAGACGTTCTGAAATTCCAGCTTCGCTGAGGCTGATCACATCAATATATTCATAATCACCTGCAATCGGCACATGAATTCCACATTTCTCAGCAAACAATTGAGGAAGGCAACATCTCATGAAGTCTCAATTGCAGAAGCAGAATAACATCCTGTGACCTTCTCGTCTGGAACTCTGGATACTAGTTCAGGAACCAATGGCCTAGATTAGCATTCAGTTTTACAGGAGTTTGGGCACTTGAATCAATATTAACTGCATGATAACTCAGACCTTCTGAACAACACAATTCTATCCAATCCCAGTTCAAATAAGCATACTAAGAGCAGTAATTGAGACATATTATGAGCAGTAATCAACAATTCAAAGACGATAACACAACACAAGAACATGGTACATATAGAAAATTAGTAGCGTACCTCCTGGGACCTTGGCAGCACCCTGCCACTTAGATGAACAGACAGCAGCATCATATCCAGAAAACCTCAGGAGCTTCACCAAGGAAAATCTGATGCAGCTGGCATTGCAAGAACCTGACTCCACGAGATGAAGGTCTGTCTCCTTGATGGAGACGATGAGAGAATGCACCAGCGACAGCAATTCGCTCTCGTAGCGGGTCACCGAGTGCTTATAGAACTGCAAAACATGGGAGGAAATATAAATGGTAAATTCTCATGCATCAGGGTTGATTCTGTAACATAACATTAGAACCTAAGGAAGCTAAAACACAGATACCAACACGCAATGGACAGATTGATGACATTTCCCAAACAACAAAAACCAGAAAGGTTAAAACTTTATGAACCAAAATTTTCATCCCCATGTTCCCAAGTGAGGCAATTTTAAAGTATATCCAATGCCATATAATTAGGAACACCAACAGTATGAATTCAAAAGCTTGCAAGGCATCCACGTTACCGCAAGAACTCCAATTTCACAAGGCAATCCCACATTGACTTCTGGTTTGCATTTTGCCATGATTAAAAGGAAACAAAGAAGAAGAGGTAATAAAAAAAAACAGGAATTTTGAACCAGAATAAACTTGATTAGGGGGTTTGAGCATAAGTCCCCAAAATCCTTACCATATATGTAATTATTGTCATATAAAGGAAGAAATTAAAGAATCAAAATTAATGAACAGCACAATTGGCCCTCATTCAATTTCTCAATTCAAAGCCAAAGCTGAGGGGGGGGGGGGGGGGGGGGGGGGGGAAACAGAACTGCAAAATCGATATTATGAGAGAATTGGAAAGTCTCCTTCTCACCGTGATTTTATGGGCAAGGGAATGGAGATCGGAGAGACCCGACTCGCTGTCGCTACTGCACCAGGACTCAGCGCCGCCGCTGCTGCCGCCGTTCTCGAGGAAATCGCTGACCATGAGAGCCAAATCATGCTCGCTCTCGTGGCTAAACCCTCCCCCGATCTGCCCAACTATCCCTCTCCCCCACCACTCCCCCGTCGCCGCCGCCGCACACATCTTCTCTTCCGCCGAATTCTACCCCTCTCTTCTTCCTCCTCCAATGAAACGACGCCGCAAACCCTCACGCCGTCGTTTCGAGGATCTCCGCCGGCGGGAGCCAAACCCCAACCCAACCCCTAAAAGAACCTCCGAACAATCAACAATTGAATTCAATTTTCCTCTTTTCTTTTTATATTATTACGGCAGGGAAATGAATTGAATGTTAGCTCATCATAATTTCCCTCCAAACTATACGTATGGAGAAATCCGACTTCGAGGCTTTCTCCGATAACATTCAAACCTGGAATCAGGAACGGGGCAAAAGAAAAAACTAATTGTTTCCTCTCCCGGTCAGGCTATCTCTTGTACAGAAATTGCTAATGCGGAAATAAATCAACAGGGCGCCGCCGCGGGCGCGGTGGACGATTGACGGAGGAGGGAAGAAGGCAAATGATGTGATAATTTTTCAAATATTCAGCGAAGAAGCAAGGAAGGAGAAGAGAGGTTTTTATTAAGAAAAAGAAAAACCCCCTAAAAGATTGAGAAATTAGGAGGAGGAGAGGAGGCCGGGTTCATATAAACGTCGGAGGTGGGAGCTGGAGATGAAATGACGGATATGGCCTTCGGTTTTCGTTTGTTTCTTTCTGTTGCTTCGTGGGCAAGTAAGGCATAGTAAAAAGGTAAAAACAGAGAGAAAACTGGATAAGATGAAAGAGACAGGGATTTGGGGAGCGGCAATGGATGTAGACGGGAATGAGGTTTTGATTCGATAGTGTTTCGTTAATTTCGTTCTTTGTAAAGGTTATTTATTGTTACTTTGTGGACAAGGGAAATTAAGAGCATAAAACAGCTCAGGAAAGCAAATTGTTTTCTTTTGATGAAGTAATGAGAGAATTCAGTCTATAGATTTATTGAATTTGTAAATAGAATATTATGTTTTTTTCTTAATGATGTTTTTTTATCGTGAATTTTAGTTTAAGATATTTTTAAATTTCTAAAATTTAAAGATATTAAATCTTTGATTATCATAGAGATTCTGTATATGGATTTCTGAGATTTTTGTTCCTCCCACTTTATATCTTCCTTTATATTTATCCCACTAAATATCCTTGTCAATAAATTCTCAAGATTTTTTTAGCAAGTCTGATTATTTTGCTTAACACTAAATGAGTCAATTGCTAAAAAATTAGAAATTCTATTTGTATTGGATGTTAACAATGCAATTACAAAACAATGAAAAGTTAAATTTTCTTTTTAACAATCCGAATAATTAGAATTTTGGATTGTTTATAATTTAGAGATTTAGACTCCAATTCTCCGAACGAGTTCTAAAGTTTTGTTGTTACCATGTCTCGGGCCCCTTTTATATTATTTTTTAGTTTACCAATTTGGATTGTTTACCATTTAGAGATTTAGACTCCAATTTTCCGAACGAGCTCTAAAGTTTGTGTTGTTTGTTACCATGTCTCGGGCCCCTTTGATATCATTTTTACTTTACCAATTGATACCTCTATTTATTTTTAACAAATGTAAATAAGCCCTCTTACACTTTTGGTCATAAATGACTTGCTCATACAATTGAACGAAGTTGTCCCGGTTTATCTAGTAGAAGAGTGTGATTGCGAATAGAATAGAATGATAACCCACATTCTCTCTATTCATTGTAGGGGGTGTGGTTTTGATGCTTAGGCACCATATCATCCTAACCTCAACGTGTATTTGCGTATAAAAGATGATGTCTCGTTTCAATTTCTTAGGTGTCCAACATTATGTCTTCATTTCATTGTTACCGTGTTGTATTTCCTTCTGTGTTAATTATTCCTATTATTCTAAGTTGAAAGAGATAAAACAAACAAGGATTCTAGTGATACTCTAATCCTCCAATCCAAAAAATTAGAATACTATCAGGATATTGTTGGACATTTAACTAAAAGTTGGTAACTTTTGGGGTTTAATATATATATTTTTTACTTTGACGTTATATAGGTTTTTATCATTGTTCTTGTAAATGTACATATGTGCACACGGGTGGAAAACCGGAGAAAAGAAGCGGAAGATTACAGTGCTGGAATATTCGAGCAGGTTCCTTGTACAAGCGATCTCCCGCGGAAAGAAATCAAGAATTGTCGTACTTCTGTTCTGTACTTCAAATTGGCAAACGTGTGTCGTGTCGTCCCAGAACTTTCTTCCTTGTAATTAATTAAAAAGTCAATTTCCTAGAAACTCACTAAAAACTAAAACGCATTATTACCTTTTTTTTTTATTTTGCCAAATGCAGTGCTTGGATTTTACACAAATGATGTGATGACGAGTAAATTAAGAAAAGGATTTTTACTTGTATAGTCGGGGTTCAATATCATCTCACTATAATATCATTGTTGATAAATGTAATGTTATAATATATCTAATGGACATCATTTACAATTATAATACCCACTAGACCGACATTACAATTATAATCACGTTAAACCGGCTGACATAATAATTTCATAGTGCTTTTTTTCTTCGTAAGTCCTCGTATTAATTATATCTAGTAATGCCATATATAGGAAGTCTTTTTTTTTTTTACTTTTCCCCGTATTGACCATAACTAAAATTGTTCAAAGTCTTGTTTCCCAAAATGTTGAAAGTTGTATCATGGCACAGAACAATCAGAACAATTCAACACTTACATTTGTCCACCAATCGCATTGTACCAGACCATTCAGAAATCTAACAAGCAATGACACAGAGAACTAAAAAACCCAAAACTCCTTTTGCAGTCTAGCAATTTAGTCGATTTGATTACCAAGACAATGGATCAAGGGGAACCCAAAATACAATATGCAATTAGGCAAGAGCTGGTTGGTAAATCATTTGATCAAAGAATAACGTGAGTAGGCTAGGGAAAGAAATTGAAAAGAATTGAGGGAGGGAGAATATAATGGAGAGTAAACAATAGGGTTTCGCCATTCTATAAGGCATAACAGAACTTGGAGACCAAGTCACCTTGGGAGGCTGCTGCTATGGTGAAAAGCAAGGTTGTCAAACCGGTTTATGCCAGTGTGCCGGTTTAGCAAGTGGAATGGTTCAACCGGTGGCACATACCGGTTTGTGCCGGTTCATGCCGGTCAATATTACAAATAAAATTATAAATACTCATATTTAAACATGACATTTAACGTCAATACCTAAACATTTATATTTGAATCCAACAAATAGCATCAATATTTAACTTTTATACTCATAAAATAAATAATAAAATATTTTTTATCAATTAAATTATCTAAAATAAGGTCATTTTACTTAGAGATTCGTATATCGATCATGCCGGTCATACCGGTGGTGTCACGCCGGTTTTATCACCGGTACCGGTTGAACCCGGTACAACCGGTGGCACGCCGGCCGGCGTGACAACCATGGTGAAAAGGAAAAAATTATAGGGATTCCCTCTTCCACTTTTTTTTTAAATATTCATAAAACAATAAAATAAATATTAGAGAAATTCATGCAAATTTGAATGAAGCAATGACCGATTAATATTATCAATTTGATGAACAATAAACTAATAAGCAGCTACGACTAGTTGGAATATGAGGTTGAGAAAATGGTCTATTATGGAGGCTGGCCTACCTTCTCCATCATCAGACAAATTATCCGTGTCCATGGAATTCGATTTTTAATTTTCATATTTGTAGAATTTCATTACTAATTCTTGTGTTTGGAAATGAAATTTCTTGTTCATAAACCCGATTCCTACCATTCTTGTAAGAATTTCTAGTACCCAGGAGTTAAATTATGTGAAAATTATGTTCAAGTTATTTTCTTTCCCAACGTAAAACTGAAAATGAAATATCATTTTTAAACTTTTTTACTAATAAAAATAGTTGCACATAATTTTTCAATCAGATAAATCTCTCGAAGCAAATTCAAATGTTTCAATTCACATCTGAAGATAATTCAAATTACAAATTATAATTCTCAAAAATTATAGATTGGGAAGTTGTTCATAAATAATGTTGAGAAAAACAACCAAGATGCACTAACATTTACATATTATTTGGATACTAACAACAACAAAGAATTAGTTTTGTTTTCCTTCTTTCAAGAACAAACAAATTAAAAGAGGTCTCTCTTTCTTTCTTTTGCAAGAGAAAAGCCAAAATAGAGTTCCATCGAACATATGTCTTCCTAGGATTATTATAAACCAAAGGTACTAATTTTGTTACTGACTTATTGTCATGACTGTTTTGGGGTTGTCAGTTGTCACTCTCAAGATCCCATTTCTTGTTTTAATTTTTTTTCGGTTGTTTGGCGAACAGCACAATTCCGCATATCATAGTAGAGAACAACATATAACAGTTTGGACGTGGACAAATGGGATCACAAAATGTAAAGACTCATTCTCTCGAATCATCCGTTCTAATTGTCAACATATACAGACATGAACCTAGAACCATACTTAGTAGAAAAGTGAGCATCAACATGAGCTGTCCACTAGAAGTAAGATGACAATACCTTATTTATTTTATAATGCATGGATATGTTTACTCTTTTCGACTTGATCTGCTTTGATCCGTTTTATTCTTGATCCGTTTTACCTGATTTATTTTGGGACGGGCGGCCATGTGTACTCTAATCAACTCAAATTGTCCAAATCCCCTCTATCCCCGACTCGTTTTGCGATGTTTAGGAAACCCTACCGACCAGAAATACCGGATACCGAACTCAAAATGGTAGGCGGTTTTAGCGGTAGGAAACAGTTGAATCACGGTTTTACTTTTATTACCTTCTGTATTAGCTATAATGAAGTTTTAAATAGTTGAGGTTAAATGAATATCGAGACACCCACCCCGACCTGTCCATTGCCATTCCTAACTAAACGCCCATATGTTGAGGTTTACTTTAACGAAACAATCAAGGAGGAAATAACTGATGAGATACACCCAGTGGGCCGTGGCGGATCTAGGGGGAGGTCACCTCGGGCTTGCAGGCCACGATCCAACCCTCCTTTGGGTTTAGAGTTAGAATAATACTTATGAATTTTTCGATTTTAGATATTCGATCCAGTGCAATTTAAAAGTCGGCCCAATGTTATTTTCTATTCAAATGCGACAACTGCAATACTATGTCGTGGATCCGATGCTGTCATACATCAAAAGTTCATAAAGTCTAGGTGCAAGATGAGAGCCACAAAATGAGATATTGACAGACGTTTACTGTGCTTAATTACTGGAGCCCGAAGCATATATTTTACATTGTTGGATCGAGCGTATCAAATAGTTGTATTATTCTGCACTACATAGTCAGTGGATGCACCCGATGTTAGTCACTTACATGGATCGACATTCCACGAATCTCATAGATGTGATGACACGATGAGCAACTCAACAACGTAAACACGCACATGCTTAAAAACATTCTTGTAAACCCACTACTAACCAAATTTATCAAATTGGTTAATATTTTACAAGGGAGTGATGTGTAAACAAAGGCTTAGATTAACCGTTAGATACAGACAACAACTTACTACATCAATCTATCAACGATATAACGAAAATTTGACAGCGACGAAGGCTTTGGAGGGTGGAATGGGTAAAGAAAAGCCAAACCAGAACAGTGGGTGGACCATAGAAAGAAACCAGCTTGGGGTGGGGCATAGGACGCGAACATAAAAATTGAGTATTGACTCATCTTTCATTCAGTTATCGATAGGTAGGCCTAAAAATTGACCGAAACCAGCTCCGAGGATTGTGATCCATTTGTGGAAAGTGGTTCGGCCGGCCAATTAAGACCGCTCTCAAGAATCCCGTGGGCTGTGGCTTTGCTTGCGAGAGAGATGTAACCAGGATTCAGGACCACTCACTCGATCACTTTCTTTTCCTTT